GTTGGCGGGTGCCACGCTAGGGTCAGCATTGGCGGCTGCAGATCCCTCCCAGTGCGGACAGGGCACGATCCCTGCGTCCGTCCCCTGCACAGCTGGCATCCAGTCCCCCCTGCCACCCAAGATTTGGTAACAGGGCTGTTCTTAGGCTGGATGGGGCCCTACACAAGCTCTTACACTGGTGCCCCTAAGCCCGACGCGAGTGTGATTTTTTAGAGATGTGATTTCCTAATCCTCACACTAATGAAATAGTTTTAAAACCAATTTTAAACTAAGGTCCTGTAGAGAACACAGTAAATTCAGAAACTGCCAGCATATACCTGAGGTTGGCAACCCCCTGTTAAATGGCTTCATTACCGTTTGCATGGCTCTTTTCCAGGTGCAGTATTCTACTAATAGGTCTGGCAGGCTTTTGCACTTTTAAGTTAACTAGTGGAAGTGAAGCCATGAAATAGGGATACGAAGAGCGAGGTAGGTGGACATTAAGACCCAGGGGTGCCCCAAATGTTTGGGTGCCCTATTCAGGTGCATATTCTGCGTATGGGTAAGGATAGCTTTGTGCAGACCTGCCATTAGAAAGGGGGGGGGGGGGCAAAGGTGCCCAGAGCAGTGATGACTGGAACCTTGAGTCCCTTTGAATTGTCACCAGAGTGCCACCCTCCCCTAGCACCTTGTTCCAGGGCCCACAGTGGCTGCTGGTCCTGCTGGCCCTGTGTGTTAAAACAGAAGCATTTGTCTCTATTTTGGGATCCCTCATGGCTGGCTTGTGCTCAGTGTCTTATGTGTCTTTTCCGTCATGTCATGCAAGCCATTTCCACAGCCACACATGCTTGCCCACAACATTTTACCTATCCATGCGCCAGTGGGCTGACTTGTGTCAAATGATATTGCTGAATAGTCCATGTCGTGCATATGCCAGTGAGTCACAAGTCACACAACTATGTCTTCCAGACACTGTCACTCATATTGTCATCTGTCTTATGCCCACACCAAGTGTTGTCACTCATCTTGTGTACTCACTGTCAGTTCCCTAGCTCAAAGATTGCTTGGGCAATCAAATCTCGACTCTGGGCTTAGATCACAGTTTGGTGTCAGTCTAGCCACACAGTTTTTCCATTTAGCAAGGTTCTGTGGAATTTGTTCATTATGTTTGTGCGTCTGAGACAAGACTTTAAGAACTGTGGTTCTGTTTGCTCAGCCCAGGGCCGGCTCGAGCCATTCCTGTGCCCTGGGCAGCAGGCGTGCGACACATACGCGGCCCCGCCCCCCCGGTGCGTTGCGCACCTTACAGCTGCCATCAGATGCCCCCCATAGGTTGGTGCCCCCGGCAGCTGCCCAGCTAGGCCCTCCCCCCTTAATCCGGCCCTGGCTCAGCCTAGACTAGTGAAGAGCAACCTAGGCTAGTGAATTGTGCTGCCCTGGGCCCTGCAAAATCCTCATCTGCCCCTGTCAGAACTTTACTAGGGTTCAAAAAAGAACTAGATAAATTCAAGGAGGACAGGTCCATCAATACTTATTAGTCAGGATGGGCAGGGATGGTGTCCTTAACCTCTGTTTGTCAGAGGCTGGGAATGGATGACAGGAGAGGGGTCACTTGATGATTCCCTGTTCTGTTCACTCTCTTTGGGGCACCTGGCACTGGCCACTGTTGGCAGACAGGACACTGAGCTAGATGGACCTTTGGTCTGACCCAGCCTGGCTGTTCTTCTGTTCTTATAAGATAGTCTCCCAGGACAGAGTAGTTTTGCTAACTGCAGTTGCATACCTACAATTTGCAGGGTGTGTGTCATGGGGTGCCTTGGTCACGTCACCCAGCCCCCCTTCTCCACTTTCGTTTTCCTCCCGCATGCCTGGCCCGCCCCGCCCCGCCAGATCGTGAGGTTCCGTCACTCCCTGGTCGTCCCAGTGATACCCAGCGTGGGGGGTGGGGGGGGTCCAGGCCCTCCCTCTCTCCGGACCCCAGCCCAGGGCCCTAAGGTGGGGGAGAATATCCTCTCTCCCTTCGCCTGGCTGATGGGGCTGTGTGCCGCAACTCATCAGCCCACAGGCTCCTGTTTTGCACCCACCCTGGGCTACTTTCTCACCCCCGCTCACCAGGATACTTCGCGTGCTGCTTCCTTGAGGCCCAGAGCCCCCTCATCCGGTGCTCTGGCTGGCCTCTCCCCTCCGAGTGCCCCTGCTGCCTTTATGTTGTGGAGGATGCCGCCCCTTTCTCCTAGGACGCCTGCGCCGGCGTCTACCAGGTCAGCTCCTCCCCCCTTCCTGCTGCCCCCACCCCC